CAGCTGCACAGAACTGCCATGAACACTTCCTGGGCCACGGCGGTGTTGCTAAATGGCACCCGAGATCAGGAGCGGAAATGAAGCCACGCGGAGCCTGGGTCTAGGCCTGGCTGGACTACCAATGAGCCAGGTGATTTTGTGGAAACCATTCCCCTCCTGGGCCTCACTGTCTTCGTCCGTAAGGAAAGAAGATGTCGGTGCTGGCTAGGTGCTAAGTTTCTGCCACTCTCCACATTCTGGCATTCTGTGACTCCGGCTAATTCGAGCTTATCATAACCCGGTGTCTCTCAAAGTTGTCATTAAGATGAGAAGTTTGCAGGTGGGTGAAATGAAGCATAGAAGCTGGAAGGCTAGAACCAAGAACACTGATTCCTAGCCTTCTGCTTCCATTCCAAGTCACCCTGATTCTGAGAGAGCTGAACTCAAGAAGAACCTTCTCATGACTAGTGCTGGGTTGGAATTTGAGAATTCCATTTGGATCCTCACTGCTTTTTAGAGTGAACTGAAGCACTGGGGGAGAAAACTCACTTAGGAGACCAACAGTGGCAGAAAAACTGGTTTTCTCTTGTGTTGGGGGCATTGAGAGAAAACATTGCTGTCATTTGGTAGCTAAAATGTGACTCTAGGTGGCCAAGCCTTCACTTGAGTGGCTCCCAGTGGCCCCCATCATAAGCCTACAGATGAGCCCCCGGTCAGAAATGAAAGGTCATGTGTTTCCAATGGAGAGGACATCGAGTGACGAGACATAAGTAGCATCGTTTGAAGGCATCATTTTGAATTTCCCCTTAAAATGTAGAGGCCTCAACAGTGGAGGTGAGGGTTCTGAATCTCCAAGGGTGAAGGCGTGGATGGTGTTAAGGATAAACTCGTGCTGTACCCACCTCGTCTGGCTAAGTTTTAGTTCACCAAGATATTTGGAGGGTCCCAAAAAGAAAAGAGCCAGAAGTTCTGCAGCAGACCAAGTGGTGGAAGGAAACTCGGTGAAGAGATGAGTCCCTAGGGGCTTGGGATTTTCCAAAGCTCAAGAATTTAACCAGGCAGATTCACAGGCAAGGGATGACATGACCTGCAGGCTGAGGGGTTCAGAGAATTAAGCTGGGAGCAGTTTGCTCCTTTTGAAGAGGAGTCTGGGCAGGGGGCAGGAGGTGTGGAACAGCACAGCCAGCCTACAGTGACAAGAGAAATAGGAGCCCCTATGCTCCTGAGGGTCATTCAAAAGTCTGGCTCTTCCTATGAAACATGATGAGAACAACGATAGCGTTTGATACCAGGTAAGGCAGCAAGGAAGAAAAGGTAGTGAAACACCATACAGAGAAACCCCTCTGGTTTTGAACAGAAACTGGGCAGAAAAAGGGAAAGAAGGAAAAAAAAAAAGACAAACAAACAGAAAGAAGGAAGGCACCAGCAGGAAGAGAAATCAGGGCTACAGCTGTCAGGCAGAGAAGAAAGCCAGGCCATGTCTTCGGGAAGCAGAGTCATGGAGAGGTCAGGGGTCGGTTGCTCACTCAACAGTAACTGGGGGGAGCCTCTGAGATGCCAGCATCGTGCTGGGTTCTAGAACCCCGCCAGCGAGCAACACTGATGCGGCGCAGGCTCAGAGGGGGTTTACGGCCTAGTGACTGGGTCAGAGGCGCCGTCCCAGAACTGGCAGGTTCCACGCTGGGGCTCCATGCCATGGTGGGTGGAAAGCAGGGAGAAGCATGACTCAGTAGCCTTCCCATCCTAAAAGGCATCATCATCATCAAGAAGAAGGGGATCTGAGAAGAAATTGAGGCTGGGGATAGAAATAGTGGGGATCACCAAGAAGACGGTGCCTGAGTGGGAAGGTTTGGACAGAGAAGGAGATGGAGGGATGATGGAACCCTGCTGGCGACCAGACAGCAGCAACTCTTTTCCAGCTCAATCTCCCTGTCCTAGGGGAGGAAAAACGAAAGGCAGAAAGAGATCGAAGGATGTGAATAAGGAGGGAAACAGCCCATGCTGGCTTTTCCCACCTTTTTGGAAAGTTCCTGAAGGACGGACGGACAGTTATGAGTGCCTCTCCTCATACCTACCAGCAGCTGCTGAAGGAGAACTCCCCCCGCCCAGCCAAGGGAGAAGGAACACCCCAGTAGGAGAAATGAATCCCACGACCTGCCCTTATGGGATTGTCAGATTGGGAATGGGCAGATCGTGCTAGGTTTCGACACATCTAGGTGCTGTCACACACTTAATGGGATAAATTAAAAGGGGGTCATTTATGGGAAGGCGTGTGTTCCAGAAGAATCTCTCGATTAGTCTGAAAAGCCAACATCTAGAGATTTGCTTAGATTACCCAAGACAATATCCCTGGAACATTAAAGCTGGAGACCGTCTGACATTCCAATCTTGGTGTAAATTCATTTTAACCATTCCCCTGTCTCACCCAATACCCTAGCTGCAGGGAGGAGATGGTGTTTTGAGCACATAGACTGGGAAACCTGTATTTACCTCTTAAACTATGGACACAGCAGGAAGGCCAGTGTATAGAAAACCCTAGAGCCTGGCTCTGGGTCAGCCAGACCTGGAATTTGAGGGGGCTCAAGGGAGGGAAGAGAATTCTTGAGATTCATGAATGCAAAACTGTGCTCTGTGAGGACAGTGTCCTTGAAGAGATTGTGGGAAATTCCAGGTTTCCCAAATCACTTTCTTAGCACTCGCATTCATAATTCATACTTCATATATTTTTTTATTGCAATCCCCTGCCTACCTGATTTACAGAATGGTGAGATCCCCAGACAAGGTGTGCCAGATTCATATTCTCATTAAGCCCAGGCCAAGGCGTGCCTTTGTGAAGCAGGTTCCCTTAATCATGTCACTATCACTATTAGAAAGAAAGAGTGGACAATATATAGGTGCCATAATTAAGATGATTTTTTTTTTTTTAGAACTGACCATATTCACACTAAACCACCAGTCATGTTGGCGTTGGCCACTTTCTCCACCTCTCAAATGAAGTTTGAAAAAGCATCTTTCCAATTTTGCTTCCACCAACTGTGCACTTCATCACTCGCCAAACACCATCTTGCTCCTCAAGAGATGTGTTATTCCAATATATTTTGATATTCCATGAGGAAACATAGATCCTAAAGACAAGCTGGCCAATTTCACATCCAAGCTCTACCAGTAATTAGTTATCTGCCTGAGTGACCTGAACTGAGTTATTCAACCCCATTAAACCACAGTTTCTTCCTTGTCTAAAGTAGGGATATTGATGAGTCCCATAATTCTTAATATTACTAATGGTGATTAAATTGTATTTAAAGCATTTTACTGCAAACCAGGCATTCAATATGAGTAAGTTTGATTAAAATTACAGGAAAACATTAAGTGGTTTGGAGTTAAAGAATAATACTTTCTCACGTAACAACAATCATCTGTTTGTGTGTACATGTTCCAGAGGCAATAAATATTCCCATCCACCACCGCACCATTTTGTCTTCTTTAGTTCTATAATGTTTAAGTTCACTTTCACTTGTATTTGTGAAATCCCCTGCTGAGTTTCAGGGCAGTGTTCACCAGAGTGGATCTTAAGCACACCCAACAGTTTGTCATGACTCTGATGGGTCTGTCGAGCAGAGAAAAAAAGAAAGATGTGAAATCAAGACCTTAGGTTGATGCAAAAGAAAAAAGTGGTGCAGAGAATAAAGAACGTTGTGAGTTCTGCATGCCTTTACCCATCACCATGGCAGGGGGATTATCCCTCACTGTAGCGATCAAGTTTGTGACAACTTTTTAATCATTTTTTTTTAAATTTGAAAACTCAGTAATTAAATAAGATAATACCTAAGATTGTTCATGCTTTGGGGTTCCACTGTTTTGTCATTCTGCTACCAAGACCTAGGTGACAGCTACTGTATAAGATGTAAAGAGGTCTGAAACTTGACTCCCCCCCAATAAATTAATGGATAAGACTTCAGCAGGTAAAGAGGATGGGAAAGGACATTTTAGACATCAAGACCCAACTTGAGAGGACCAAAAAATGAGCCATGATGGGTCAAGTTGGTAGTGAGTCTGGGTAGAGTAAAAGTATTAATGCTAGAAAGCTAGCTTACATTGGGTACTGTGAAGGATCCTCAATGTCAAGTGCCTGACAAGCACTTGGCAGCCCTTGGCGCATGTTGAGCAGGGGAGTATACTAGAACATCAAAAGGCATCATCAACAATAATCGTCATCATTTTGGCATAATAGAAAATCGCTGGCTGAAAGTTGGCAAGGCCAATACTTTGTGAATTTTGGGTTCTCATTGAAAAATACAATTCCCATGTTCGGGAGAGAAGGGATTCATAATAACTTAGGCTGTGTCTATGTAACCCCACATCAAAGAACAAAGGGAATATTTAGGTAACCCCATTTTAATATGGCTTATTTTAATGGATTCCAACTTGTTTCTATTTTTTTATTTTTTAAAAGATTTTATTTTTATTTTTTTATTTGAGAGAGAGACAAAGATAGTGACAGAGAGCACGAGTGAGACGAGTGCGCACGAGCGGGGAGGAGAGGGAGAAGCAGGCTCCCCACCAAGCAGGGAGCCCGATGCGGGACTCAATCCCAGGACCGCCGGATCATGACCTGAGCCGAAGGCAAACGCTTAACCGACTGAGCCACCCAGGCAGCCCCCAGCTTGTTTTTCAATGCAGTCAAAACAACTCACATATGTGGACTCAGGCTAAATTTCATTTTTTTGTTATTTAAAGCTTCATCGCAGCCATCAAGCGATGTTGATGAGAACTGGTACAAACCCACCCAGTGGGTCTGGCTCCCATAATAGATATTGCACGTATGAACCAGGTGAGAACAGCCTCAGAGGATATTACATGTAGGGGCTAGCCACTCAGATGTGAGAAACGCAGACGCATTCGGAAACACAGGAAACATGTGAGAGACATACAAATAAGTGTGTTGGTTTGTTTGCTTGTTTTCCTAGCCAGTTGGCCTGTTGGCTTGCAAATAATATGTACAAATCTGTGTTTTCTTCCAGGGTCTTTCTTCCCTGATTTCAAGCCCTCAGAAACAGTTTTTAAAATAGCATTTTGGCTCGGATACCTAAACAGCTGCATCAACCCCATTATATACCCGTGCTCCAGTCAAGAGTTTAAAAAGGCCTTCCAGAATGTCTTGAGAATCCAGTGTCTCCGCAGAAAGCAGTCTAAACATACCCTGGGCTATACCCTGCACCCTCCCAGCCATGCCGTGGAGGGGCAGCACAAGGACCTGGTGCGCATCCCAGTGGGATCAGGAGAGACCTTCTATAAGATCTCCAAGACGGATGGGGTCTGTGAATGGAAATTTTTCTCTTCAGTGCCCCGTGAATCTGCCAGGAGTACAGTGTCCAGAGACCAGTCAGCCTGCACCACAGCCCGGGTGAGAAGTAAAAGCTTTTTGCAGGTGTGCTGCTGTGTGGGGCCCTCGACCCCCAGCCATGGAGAGACCCACCAAGTTCCAACCATTAAGATCCACACCATCTCCCTCAGTGAAAATGGGGAGGAAGTCTAAAGGACAGGAAAGATCAGAAGGAAGGGGGTGGGGGGGGAATGATCTTAGGCACCCACCCCACTTCCTACTTGGAAGGCCAGTTCACTCTTCCTGGATGACAAGACAGGACCAGGGACCAGGGACCATCTGGGAATGGGGTGGGGGAAGAGACCCGACTCTGGGGCAGTGGGTAGAGCTCAGGGAAGAAGGAGGATATCACACAACCATCCGGCTGCAAATGATGATAAACAGCATTTCCTTGAGGCTAATGCTCTCGCGGTCATCCTCTGAGGCCGCTTTCCACGTCTGGCCCTTGCAACGAAAAACACCATGGGAAACAGAATGTCATACACAATCCAAAAGACTATAAATATAAGGTTATGATTTCATCATGAATATTTTGAGCACACTAAGTTTGGAGCTATTTCTTGATGGAGTGAGGGGATTTTATTTTCAGGCTAAATTTACTGACAGCCACGTTGGATATTTACGAGGAGAGGGCCTGGAGAGGAAGAGCCTTAAGATGGTGGCCAATATGCAGGCACATTATTTTTAGAGCACATTTTAAACTCCACCATTTCTGACCATATCCAGTTTCTTAACTTGGGTGCAACTTGACAGTGAGATCTACCTTTTGCTGCCATTTCACCAGCTCCTGCTCCCGATTCCCTAAAGATGAGGGTGAGGGGCCCTCATGATGCATCGGAACTAGTGGAGGCACCTCTGTGCTTGGGTCTAGACAGTCGGGGAAAAGATGGCTTTTCCTGATGGGAGACAGGAGGGGTGAGGGTCGTTCTTTTTTTTCAACTTTCCTGCTACAGAAAAAATTCCAGTAAGCGGTTCCAAGATCAAAGGGAGGAAGGCTTCTTGTGAAACATATTTAAATATCAAGGGTTTGGGGTGGGGTGGGGCGGGTGCTAATTTCATGCTAAGAGGCTGCAAACTTCCTGCACAGCTGTTTCGATGTGGCCTAGAAAGGCTTTTCTTGGCAAATCGCTTACCTTTTCCAGAGTACCAGTTTGAAAATCCAGAGCTTATAGTATTTTGGAAGGTGCCTCCGGACTTCCCATTTTTCCTCCGCGGCTTCGCTACTGCCTAAGGAATGAGGTTCAAGGTCCTGAATGCACAGGTAGCATGGTGGAATGAGAGCCTTAGGATCCAGGTATATCCTTCCTGAACTTTGAGAGATACACATGCTTAGCTTGGGAGGATACCGACTGGTCACCAGAAAATCGTCTAAAGCCGGAATTTGCAAATAGTTTTCGACAGAAGCCCATTTATTCTGGTGAAAGATCCAGGAGCCCGTTCACTTCATCTATTCCCACTTTCTTTGGGAACTTGGGGAACGTGCTACTTTTGCTTTCTGTATACCAAATTCTGGTTAACCTTAATAACGCGATATATGACTAAAGAGGAAGAGGATTATCGTATGTAAAAAATTAAAATATTTTTCACATCCCACAATAAGAATTTAAAATAAGATTTATGGTTTGGACATAATTCCTGGCCAGAATCACTGATCGAAAACTGCTGACTGACCATCTCTGTAGCCTCTTCCCCCCTATTTGAGTAATTTCCTCTAAGAATTTCAAAGTTGACTACGGCCCCTATTTAGCCTTCACAGCCAAGGTGGGGGCCCATTATCTTTTCTTCTTCCCATGCAGCAAAATGAAAATTTCTTCAAGTGCTCCTTCAAGGCTAATATCTTTGCACACTGCCATGGGGGCGGGGAGGGGGTATGTTTGCATGTGGATTTGAGGCTGTTGTCAGTCGTGCTTGGCCATTGAATATTTTGCTTTTTCAGCTTTTTCTGGAGAATGTCTTCTTGCTGACCAGACAGGCGCTATGCCTTGAGCTTATGATTCTGGCTTTAGATATTGGCTGGATTTTTAGATTCTTCTGGTCTGTCTGCATGTCCCATAACAGTTCTACCAGATGTGGGTGTCCTATTATGGACGTAAGCATCAGAGAAGGACTCGAGTATGCGAACTGCGCTTGTCTTCTGCCTTGATAGGAAAGATAAGTTTCATTGTCGAGAAGAGCTTCTTTCGGGATCTGAATTTTAAAAACCCCATTTGTCAGGCTTCCCTTCACAGGAAGGGCATCCCCACGAAAAGAATGGTAATAGTTTTGCTTCCATAAAATATGGCTCCCTTTAAACTCATTCCCGGACAAATTTATGTTTTAGATTTTAGAAAGCTAAGGATTACCAGAAAGCTAGCACGATGCCACTTCTAATCAAAATAAACAACTAGGAAATCGTTTGGTCATCAGATAAAACCATGACAATTGTATTCATGTGAAACAGTCCATAAAGAATGATCTGCTACACTCTTCACCAACCCCAGTCCCTCCAGGGAGGCAAACTTTAACATTTTTTTCCTTTCCCATAACGTGATATTAGGTATAAATATGCCGATTTTACAAGAAATTGATAATGTCACCCAAGACTTAGTCAAAGTGGGATAAACAATACTCGAGTTATTTTTTACTCATCCACAAAAATCTCTGTACCTTTGAGCATGCCAAAAACTCTCTAAAATTGTCACAGTTAAACAAATGATTGTCATATTTATACTCACATGTTTACTGCTTCTATTTGGAGTTTGAAGAATTTACCCAGAGCAACAGTGGTCACAATGTTTTCTCTAATGTGTTATAAAAAGCAGTTGCTTTGAGACTGCCGAAACATCGCAAAAAAATCAACTTGACATTATGGGATAGGCCAAACTTGAGTTTCTTCTGCAGTTCGAATTGCATGCATTCAGGGAGACCCTGAAGCTCTCTACTTAAACATTTCCCCCGGCTATTTCCAGGATTTCAGGAAAGCATTTTGCTTGTCACTTTTCTTCCACTTGCCTTTACTCCTGTCTTGTCTAAGACTGTTCTGCTTGTCATCACTTTGTGTGTGCCAACACTCTCCAAAACATGAAGGCTTCAGACTCTCACTACTACCTGGATTTATCCAGCCATGGTGGACAAGTGATATTTGGTTAAATAAATATATTCCGTAAGGTTTTTTTTGTTAGGTTCTTCTGTGCGCCAGGCATCAGCAGGACATTTTATACCCCATTGGCTTTAAACCTCATAGCAATTTCACCTTTCTATCTCAAAGGTAAAAATCTGTTAGCTGGGAATAATGAAGGACTTGCCTTAGGCCAATGAGGAACCTTGATTCAGTCCTGGATCTGCCTAACACTAAAGTCTACACGTTTTTACCATGCCTCTGCCTCCTAAATAGTTGGGGGGGAGGGATGTTCCCCAGTTTGGATTGGGGATGCTGAGGATAGGAAGCCATGCAGCGTTTTAACATTTTGCTTCTTGGGGATCTGCCTTCCAATCAACCTCCATACATATGCTGCCAAACGCCAGCCCAGCCATATCCCCAAAACAGATCAGAATCAGAAGGGTTTGGTGCCTACAAGTCTACCTTTCAGACCACACCATTTTTTAGAGGATAATGACATGGAAAGTTATTCAAGCCTTGCAAGAAAGACAAATTCTATCAAACTGGGAGCAGATGGGCATATAAGAGAATGCAGAAGAGGCTGCATTGGCCTAAAATGTTAAAACCCAGTTGTGGATATGAAACACATTGCATAGGACGTTGGAGTTACTGACTACCAACCAGAGTTAATTGGCACTTTCAGGAAGTATATCCCTTTTTAAAATAAATAAGAACAAATACGACATCACTCTCCCCTGTACTCCAACATTATTTTTTTATTTGAGTTGGAGAAAGAAAGAGAGAAGGAATTATAGATACTTCCCCAGGAATTACACCAAACCCAGATAGTGTGTCAAACATGTGAATTTCATGCGTGTCCCCGTAGGGGAATGGCTCACAATGCTGATCCCCAGGTAGCCAGAGATGTAGGCAATCTTGGGAAAGGAAGAACCAGTTGTCAGCCGTGGCTGTGGATTAGCCGGCGTCCACTTGTTCTTGGATTCCTTTTTGCAAATGAGAGCTTTATGCTCTAAGTATCTCGGATTGCCTCAGCCCCTCAAACTGAACCCATCACGCAGACCTTCTGGCCCCATAGGTCCCATGGTCACCGCCTGGGAGCGAGAAGGTTTTAGGAACTTTTTGCTTGGGCAGGTAATGATTCACTCTTGAATCACAGCTACTTCATCCGAGCTTGACAAAAATTCTCATTTGCTTCTGGGGTTGGTTCTGCACAGGTCCTCTTGCCAAAAGAGATGCTGCCTCTGCATATGAGTACTTGTTGACTTAATTAAGGAAAGAGCTCTGCTCGTCAGCAAAGGGAGAAGGGAGCCCAAGCCCGTGGAAGGTAAACTCTGCAAGCAAAATAGGGTGACCGAAAAGAAGGCAATGGTGGCTAGTAGGAAGGCATCAGAAGGGTGCTCACTGTTGCTCTGATTTCTTTTTATGCTACTAGGACTTTTAACCCTGAAAGCACCTGCACACAGCTCCGGTCCAGCCTGGTTGGAACACTATTGGCACCTGCTCCTTGTCTACCCACTGTGCCGGGGAGCAAGGCTGAGCCCAGGCTGCTGCGGGGTCCACCGTCTTCAAAAAGCAATGACAACAGTGGCCTCCTGGCCCTCCAAAGTCCCCGCAAGATGAGTGAGTGGAGATGACTCTGGGGGCCGGGACTGGCAAAAGCAAATTAGGATTTCGGCAGAGGACACCGGGCCCCTTGCCCCTGTTCCCATCAGCATGGCCTCACTCGTGCCCCCCACCCCAGATCCAGATGTCGTGGGGGCTGAGGATGGAGCTCATCTGCTCTGTGCAGGAAAATATTATTTCTTCTCTGCTACCACAACACGGATTCCTGAGTCTCCCGGCTAGAAGGAAGGGTATGGCGGTGGGCAGGGGGCGGTGTTGAGGAGGAAGGAGACTTACCCTGGACATCGCTCAAAGCAGGATGTGCCGTTTCCTAACGCTTTGCTGCAACTGATAAGCAAGGAACTGCCCTGAAGCTGCTTGCTGCATCATTTCCAAACACAAAATGATTGTTTTTCCCTGTGGCTCGGGAGTCATTACAGCACTTTCCCTCTATATTCCAGTCAACAGAGCCACATTATAAGCTGGAAATGATTAGAGCTAAGCTATGAGAAATACAGACTCAATTAGGTGAGAAAAAAATCTAAGAGCAAGTTCATTCTGTATTTGTAGGAAAAAAATAATGAAGGCGCCAACCTATTAAGCAGCCCGAGTACGGGAGGTGCCTTCAGATGCAATAGAAAAGAAGCTAAGACAGGATGTCCCAACATGAGCTTAGAATGTCCTCCCATCTGTGTAACACTTTGCACTTGCCCAAGTAATTTCGCCTATCTCAAGTCTTTCCTGGGAACGACAAAGCTAAGGAAGGCTGTATTATCTATTCTTAACATCTGAAGAAACATAGAGACTTGAGGAGGATGCTTCAGATAGCCCCAAATCCAGCCTCTGACTCCATTTTCCATGACGCCCTCAATATCCCCAGGGTCGACTGTGTTTCTCGAGACCGTGAATTTCATATGTCATTCATTCATCTCTGATCCACGTTTTCGGCTCCATTGGCACCTTCTCTGCTATTACATTTCTGCCGGAGGCTGGGCAATGCAAGATTGTTTGGAGTGTATATTTGTCTATGCTTTTCTCATTGGCTAAAGGACTAGCAGATGTGATTCTGTTCTTTCTCCGTAGTTAGGCAGCACCAGAGCTGAGGAAGTAAGCGGGGCAGGGTGCTCTTGGCTTGCTCAGCAGGGTGACAGGTAAGGCAAAGCCAGCAGGGATTAACACCTTAAGGACCTCAGGAATGCAAAGGTTGCAAAGGAAGTTTCAGTGAGCCTGAGGGCTGTTGATACACCCCTTCGTCACAGTGAGCAAGCTGCTCGCTTCCTCTCCTGCACCAGGCACTGCATTGGGCACGAAAAATACTAAGAGGCACAGGCAGTCCCCAGTTCATGAGCTGGGTGGGTTCCAGGTTCATCTGTTGCAAGTCGAGAATGCATTTTTCCAAGAAGCAGTGTTACTGATGGGGGAGGGGAAGGGTGTTCCCA